CCAAGTCTACATCTTGCAAGGAAATACTTAAAAAGAATCCAGCAAGTAAGACTGGTGAATACACTTTGTATGACCCCATTACTGAGGAAGAATATAAAGTTATGTGTCTTATGACAAGTTTTGCAAAGTGTGGCAATATTGCTGGTTTGACAACATTGTTTTCTCAGTATTTTCCAAGTAATTGTCCTGAAGGATTTGTTTCAAAAAAATTCAGTGGTTTCAATCATTGTGTGAGGCAGCCTAGTGAGTCTGGAGGTTGTGTCTCCATTAAGGTTCCAGCTCATAATATGCAGTATGATCGTGTCTGTGCAAAGGTGACTGCTTTTCAAATAGGTACACCTGATGGTATTTCTGGCCCCAATAGACCTGGTAGTATTGATGATGCTTATGTTGATGGATTTAGTATGACACACGGAAAATCTCCACGTAAGCACATCTGGACTTTCATGGGATCATCATCAGAAGTAAAGCCAATATGTCCTTGTGCTACAGGTAGCACTGTAAAGGTACCTGATTTTATTGGTAATAATTACTTCTGTGAGTCTGGAAATCGTGGGGAAACTGCAGTTTCTGGCAAAATCTACACAACTGATGTGTTATGGAATATGCGTAATTGTAACGGAGTTGAAGCTTCCTGTTGCAGAAAAGATAATAATGACTATATTTATGTAGTCCTTCCATCCTCTACTACTGATGATATTGAAGTAAGGGTCTGCTCTGATGAAGCTACTTCTGATGAAGATTTTTCGCTGCTTAGCATTGGAATTTCGGTGTATTAAAACTCTAAATATTATTACAAAAAGGAGTTTGCACTAATTTAAATTATAAGTCAATTAATTAATTAATGTTGTTGTTGACAGGTTCACTATTGCTTAAACTCAATTGCAATATGTTCATTGACTACAGTGATTTAAAATATACCTATGCAATTAAACCTATTGATAATTAAGGTACATTTCTATCCCTACATGTAAGGGTATTCATACTTAACTTCAAAGGAAGTGTGAACTAACGTGCAGGTTATGTATATGCTATGCATTCTAAATGAGCTTGAATTGAACTGATCAATTTGAGTTTTGGCTGTCTGAAAATAGCTTTATTGAGCAATAGGCTTGTCTATACTTTCTAAAAATTGGCTCCTAGAAATCTTATGTTGCTGTTAGATTAATGCCAAAATTAATTGCAGAGTTAATATATGTTGATATTACATATGTTTTTAGTACATGCATTTGTATATGCGGTTTCCTGGAGAGTCACTGCTTGATAGTATTTATAGCTCTTGTAAATTAAATTGTTTCGGCATATATGTGATCAAATAGGCTACCGTATAGTCATAACTTATAAATTAGCATGCATGTTACATGTACAGCCATAGTGAGACCCACAGAGGGTTGGTCTCAGTGGGTCTCACTGCACATGAGACTAGTATAGCCATACAACCAAACACTCATTCATTCTATTCATTTGCTGCCAGCTAGCTATCTTGAATTTATTAGTTGAATAGACACTGTAGTAATCATGCATAACTCTACACTTCATTTACAAAGTCTTTCAGATGATAGCACAGCTTATTAGTTACATCTAATGTCCAGTCCTCAATCCTCATACATGTAATGCCTCAGAGTTGATTCTGAATTTCTGGTTAATGTACCACTTTTCATTAGTTTCATCATATTGCATCACTTTTAATCACAGTAATAGTTTTGGCGCCAGCCCTTTACTGTACTATTTTGCTTTTTGAGCTGCCTCTAGCTTATCTCTCTTCCTCTTTATTGATCTCTCTATCTCTTCTCATTAAAGCAATGTCTGAATATGTCTCCCATTCAACCAATGAAGCTGGGCTTAGAAACTAAATCAATACTAGGCTCTATATAACTTTTCTGGTGCAGCATAGTGTCATATTGCAGTTAGATCTATTTTGTAGCTTTAACGTAACAAGCAAGCTTCATGGTGCATGCATTATGATTATGCACCATAAGTTAACTCTGCTATGATAAGATTGGCTGAGATTGCAATTTCCACCCCGCCTACTTGTATTAATTAAAGCTTATCTACACTACTCTACACGTGTTGTCACAATGTCTTCTGGTGGTAGAAAACTCGTCACTACTGTGAACAGACTCTTAGCAGGATCCAACACCAGGATAGCAACAAGCCGGCCTGCAACACAATACCGTACTAATGGATACGAGGTAGGGTCTTAAATTCACAGCCTAATGAAAATAATGGAGATTCTAGACCTGGGTGTGGCTGTTTTAGTTAGTCTAATTTTCATGTCAAAATTTTTTATGAAGTTAAATTTTATTCCTAGTTTCTTGTTTTAATTTAACTTAAGCATTCTGTTGAACCTTAGACGTATTCAGTCAGAGCCTTCCCTTAAAAAATTCATTCACCTTGCTGCCTGCATCATAGCAACAGAACTAAATTAATTTAAGTTGCATCACAGTTATTATTTCTTTTATAGTATATGGAGAGGTGTGGTTTTATACGCCAGTCCTTCAGTGGTGGCTACTACCTGTTACCAATGGGAGCTAGAGTATTACACAAACTGGTTAGTGTTATTGACCAGGAGATGAGATCAGTGGGAGCTTGTAAGATGTCTGCGCCAATCCTAGCACCTGCATATATTTGGAAACAATCTGGTGAATTTTTAAGCATGAGTTAATGCAGTACATGTATGTATGTTTCACATTTATTTTATATAAATGTAGTATATTTTAACTGTTGGGTTTTGATATGTAATTTTTATGATTGCCTAATTTATTTTTATAGCAAAGCCTTTCTACTTCTTAATTATTGTAAAACTGTGATGAAGTGTGTCTGAACTATTATTAACATTAAATAGCCTAATCTTGATGATGATTTAATGGCTAGGGGTGGGGACCCCTTAATGTTTGACATTCATCTTGTTATTTTCCTTGTACTATCGTTATGTGTAGGACGATGGGAGAGTATTGGTGCTGAACTGTATAGACTGGAGGACAGGCACGAGGCACAGTTTTGCCTTGGACCAGTGAGTCATTGCAATAGTAGGGATCAACCCTAACTATTAATGGATAATAATAATCTACCCTAACTAACTATTAATAATAGTTATTTCATGTGGTATAAGTTCTCTAGTACACATCTATTGCATGCATTATCTTCTCTATGTATTAATTTTTAAGTAATTGTTTTTGAAGTTTTTTTATTGTTTTATTCTAGACGCATGAAGAGATGTTTACTCATTTGGTGGCTACTGAAAATATAAGCTATAGGTCACTGCCGCTCCGACTGTATCAGGTCAGTGTATCAGAAAATGTAATGAATCATGGACGAAGTTTAATTTTTGAAAAATGCCAAAAATGTTTTATAATTTAGTTATTAATTGTACTCTTGATTTTGTGACAGATTGATAGGAAGTTTCGTGATGAGATGTCTCCTCAGTCTGGTCTAATGAGAGCTAAGGAGTTCTGGATGAAAGGTATCAATCATTTAAAAACTAAGACCTCTCTCTTCCTGATCTTCTTTCATAAAAATGACTGTACATTTCCTGATACATGTTCTTCTTGTTTTACTTATTAAGTTTGAGCTGATTCCAATCAAATTTGGATTTTTTACAAATTTTTAAAGTTGCTCCAAAATCAGATAAAAGTCTCTGTACTATATAGTACACGGTCTCAGGCCAAATTTTGCCAAAAGTGAAAAGTAGAGACTTCTGCATTTTTATAATTTTTTCTGATACATATACATGTTCTTATATTGTGTAGAAGGTTTGAACTGATTCCGATCAAATTTGGATTTTTTACGAATTTTTTTTTAAATTGGGCCAAAGTCCCTGTACTATTATAGTACACAGTCTGTGGCCAAATTTCACCAAAACTTAAAAGTAAAGAATTCAGCTTTTTTAATGAATTTTCCTGATACATACTGTATAGCAGAAAATTTTCATGGATCCGTCCAAAAATCAATTTCGTGACTTTAATTTTTGTGGTTTTCTACAATTCGGCCATCTTAAACCGTATAAAATTGATTTTCACGGATTTTATTTTTGTGGGTTTTGAAAAAAAACGTGAAATCCACGAAAATTTTGGGCCACGAAAATTTTCCACTATACGGTATACATGTACATGTTCTTATGTTACTTATCAAGTTTGAGCTGCAAAATTAGATTTTAAAGAGTTTCATGGTACAAAATTTGAAGAATAATAGAGCAACCGACATATAGTACATCAGTACACAGTTGACTTGACTTACATTACCGTATAGTGGAAAATTTTCGTGGCCCCAAATTTTCGCAGATCCATCCAAAAATCTATTTTTGTGGCTTTAATTTTTGTGGTTTTCTACATTTCGGCCATCTTAAACTGTATAGAATCGATTTTCGCGGATTTTATTTTCGTGAGAAAAAAACGCAAAATCCATGAAAATTTTGGGCCACGAAAATTTTCTGCTATACGGTATATTGAATCCTATTTTTGCTCTTTAATGTACTTTCTCTTATTCCCTCATTAGATATGTACACTTTTGATGTTAGTGAGTCTGCTGCGATAGAGACTTACAATGAAGTATGTGGAGCTTATGAGTCAGTCTTTCATAGACTATTACTACCAGTTACTAAAGGTAAGGAGTGTGGGGTGGGGCTAAGGTGGGGCTTAATTAAAAGTTGTGTGTGGAAACTTTATTTTTGATATTGGCATTTTTTTACCATTGTCCTTTCAGGGTTCTGCCCAGAAAAAATTAGAGGTGGTTGGAGACTAATATTGTTCCTTTTAAATTTATGTACACTATACTAGTAGACTACAATATGATGCTTTATGTATGGTTATTAGTATTAATTGCATGGTTGGTCTAAGTCATGAACTGGTTGGCTCATTCGTTGAGGTGGTTGTCCCGACCACCATAGGCAGGACTATGTCCTTTTTCTGTTTTAATTTTACTTTGTTTTGTACTTATTGTTATTTTTTAATTTTATTTGGCCTCATTCTTCTTTGTCTCCTACTTGTACTCTCTCTCTTGCTTTTTTCCTTTTTTAAAAATTACTGTATAGTGGGAAATTTTGGAGGAAGTAAAATTTAGCGAATTACAAATTTTTGGTAATTGGTGGATTTTAATTTGGCAAATTTGTGGCCATGTGCCATTGAGCATGCGTATAAGGACGGATTTTTATTTTGGCGAATGGCTCTTAAAACACAAATTTGCCAAGTTTAATTTCTTCCAAAATTTCCCGCTATACAGTAGTATACTGCTGCCCTATTCTACTAACTATGATTGTTATTATTGTTTTGGCAAATGACTATTAAACACAAATTTGCCAAGTTTAATTTCCTCCGAAATTTCCCGCTATGCAGTAGTATACTGCTGCCCTATTCTACTAACTATGATTGTTATTATTATTGTTTTGGCAAATGGCTATTAAACACAAATTTGCCAAGTTTAATTTCTTCCAAAATTTCCCGCTATACAGTAGTATACTGCTGCCCTATTCTACTAACTATGATTGTTATTATTATTGTTTTGGCAAATGGCTATTAAACACAAATTTGCCAAGTTTAATTTCCTCCGAAATTTCCCGCTATGCAGTAGTATACTGCTGCCCTATTCTACTAACTATGATTGTTACTAGGACATGTTAAAAACATTATGGGGCGAGCACGAGCGAGCTTTGTGAATTTATGTGAAAATAATAAGCTATTACAATTTCAATACTTCATCTGAAGCTGTCAATGACAAAAATGAACAAAACCAAGTTATTACATGTAGTTGTGTCACTGCATCAACTTTTACCTCTGGTTGAATTTAGCCTACTCTCTTTATTGATTGCAGCTTATATGCTATATCTTTGAAATGAGGCTTTTGAAATAAAATGACTTGAAAGTCTTTGTTGTCTAAAAGAGCCTGTTGCTTTAACTTTAAGAGCTTTATACACTGACTTGCAAATGCCATCAATCTGATGGCATTTGCAAGTCAGTGTAAAAAGCTCTTAAAGTTAAAGCAACTGGCAGTCTTTCTACTGTATTCTACATCTGATGTAGAATACAGTAGAAGATTGCCAGTTTAGTCAAGTCAGAGTCAGAAACTGACATTTGCTCGACTTTTACAGTTTACTTATGCTATTATGTCAACAAAAAGGAGTTTCATAGTTACTTTATTGCATCTTTCCCCTTCTTAAACTGTTGGAGAAGTCTTTGAACGCTGTGTTTGCCCTATTTTGTTGCTAGAAAGCTCATGACTTCTTCCCGTGTGTTGATCACCATTTTATTTTGCTGCGGCCACTCCCACTTTCAATGGAAATATTGAAATTTAGAATCTATTGCATTGCTAAAGCATGTGCTATCACGGATATATAGAGGAGATACGGAATACGTACGTGTACAGACAAACAAACAAACAAACGCTGCTCGTCTTAGTGGGGCTCGCCCATGCTCGCCCCAATTATTATTATTATTATTATTATTATTATTATTGTCATATTGTTTACACAGTAAAAGCTAATCAAGGTACTATCGGTGGGTCCCAGTCACACGAGTATCACGTGATATCTGAGACTGCTGGAATGGACACTCTTTATACCTGTGACAAGTTAGTGTTGTTTTTAAATAAATACAATTTATTATATACTTGGAATGATTGATACATGTAGCTATAATTTGATCTAGAAAATAAAATTGAGATATAAAATAATAAGTAATTATAATATTTAGATAATCATTTAATGATAGATGTGGTCATGCTGTTAATTATGAGGTGACAGGAGACAGTGCTACTGGTATTCTTCCTGATTGTCCACTGAATGAAGAAAAGTGTCCAGTTTCACAATACAAAGGAGTTGAGGTATGTATATTGTATACTGTATAGTGCTTTATTTTTGCGGCACTTTATTTTGGTGATTTTGCTATAAAATTGTAATTGGCGGTTTTTAATTTGGCGATTTTTTGTGTACACATGCATTACTGAGCATGCGTATTAATGATTGGCGGT